TTACTGGGGGCCCCGCCTGCCTGCCTCCACCTTCCACTGCAGAGGGAGTCCCCCTGTGCTCTCCCTCCAGCCCCCGCAGGCAGCTGGGCCCCTGGGTCCCCTGGCTGCTGTGCGCCTGTGTCAGGCAGGGGCAGCCAGCTCCCGGGGAGCCGTGCCCACAGCTGTTCTATACCCCCTCAGCTTTGGTATCTGTGACTGTTCAAATCACCTGTTAAAATAAACCGACATCTCCAATCCTACAGGGCACTGTCGTCTTTTGTGTTCAGCAGAGCCCTGCACTTCCCAGGGCAGAGGTGGAGCTCACCGTGCTCAGTGCTAGCGATGGCTTGTCCCCTACCCAGCATCTCAGAAGGTGGCTCTGGTGGGTGAGAGCCTCCCCTCTCTCCTTGTCAAGGCCCATTGGCACTGTGGTTCCCCAGAGGGGACAGAGTGCTTGTTCACAGGCAGAGGGAGTTTACCCCTCACCCCATCCTCCAAAGCTGCTTGTACGGGCAAAGCAGGATCAGCAAACTGCAAAGCCACCGCAGTCCAGGGAGGGCTGGGGTGCAGGCACTGACGTGCAGACACACAGAGGGCAATGCCTGGAAACGCCCTGGGCAGCTCAGTGTGCAGCTGGGGGTGTCTGTGCCCCTTTCCCCGGCAAGGACACGCTCTGCCTACAGGCAAGGACAAACTGCAGCAGCCACACAGCAAACAGAGCCTATGGCCCCATTTCCTCCTGGCTTTGCGGCTCTGATATGGGAGAGCAAAGCCTCGTTGCTCACCAAACACCCCTGGTATGATCCAAATGATCCAACGCCAACAGCAGGACTTGGAGCTGCCTGTGACGATGTTTGTCACGACACAGGCAGCACAGCTCCCTCTGGAAACGGGGCACCTGCTCAGCAGCCGGTTCCAGCTCATGTGAAGTGATGAGCTGTGCAGGAACCGACTCCCCAGCCAAAGCCACAACGTCCCAGAGAATGTGCCCAGACCCTGTTTTGGAAATGTGAGTTTCCCCAGTGGTTTTCACAGGGCGTCACATCTCTTGTGTCCTGTGTGCATCACCACAGGCACTGTTCCTGCTTCATCTCCTTCCTACCCTGCTTACTCTTCTGGTTTCTCAATGCCTTGCAATCCAGTATCAGTCAGAATCTCACTGTGATTCACTTTATTACTCACCAGTTGCAACCCGACAGATTACATATTCACCCCAAACAACTCACCCGCTGCTTATGAACTCTCTTATGCTAGGATCAAGCCATAAACAGAGCTGTTCCTTCCTACTTGGGCAGCTCATTTCTCAAATGCTGGTGCAGTGCCTGACTGAAGCCACACCTCAGTGCAGACCTCGACCCACAGGGCACAATTTTAACAGACTGTGACAGCACCAAGCAGGGACAGGAGGTCTGATGGGGAAGAGAGACTCAGCAAGGTGCTGAGTCCAGTGTTGGAGGATAACCCCTCAGGGAATCAAAAAATGCCACGGCCCAAATTTCAAGTGAATCACAGAGGTGTATTAGCCACGTTTCCAGCCTCTGATGCCGGCTCCACTGAGACATCACAGCTGCCTCTCAGAAAACTCCATCTGCAGCCAAAACCGCCCTCCCCCCGCCAGATAGGGCACAGGCTGGGGCACACGCCTGTGGCTGCAGCTTCTCTCTGGCCCAGCTTCACTTTTGAGACTTCATGGCTGTGACCACCATGCCTCCCAGGAGGGCCGCGAAGGTGAAACCCTGGGCCAGGATACGTGCCCGCATCATCAGCTGAGACCGACGGATGTTGCCTCTCTTGAAGCTGATCAGGCCGTAGGTCAGGACACCGACAGTGCAGAGGCAGCCTGCGGGGAGGGACAGGGTCGGCTCAGCGGGGCAGGACTGGGGGGAGCAGCTCCCGCTTCCCACCCAAACCACAGCACCCTCAAGATGTTTCCCCACAGGGCAGCCCCGTAGGTTTGGGCTCAGGAGGGGCCGACTCAGCGCTCGCTGCCCTCCCCCATCACCAGCCCC